AGAAAGTGACAAGTATATCTTGTCAAGACATGGTTCTTTTATGGGATTTGGATATGTATATAAGACTATGACACATTCATTACAAGAGATTAAAATACATGTCTAAAATGAGTCTAATTCCTACTTTTAATTTGCAAAATAATGTAAAATGTAAAACATGCATGCTAACTAAAATCACTAGACAACCTTTCAAAGATGTTGTTATGGAAAGCAAGGTGTTGGATCTTATAGATAGTGATTTATGTGATTTCCATGCAACACCCTCCCTTGGAAACAAAAAGTATGTTGTTACTTTGATTGATGACGCGTCTAGATATTTTTATGTCTATTTGCTATATTCAAAAGATGAAGCTGTTGATAAATTTAAAATTTATAAGAACAAGTAGAGCTACATAAAATTGAATTAATAAAAGTCTTGGGTACTGATAGAGGTAGTGAGTATTATGATCCAGTTTATTTTGAATCAATTAGAACAATACATCAAACCACAACTCCATATACACCATAACAAAATGGTGTAGCTGAAAGGAAGAATAGGACTTTGAAAGAAATGGTTAATTCCATGTTGTCCTATTCTGGATTAATTGAAGGGTTTTGGGGGAGGAAATGTTAACTACATGTTACACCTTAACCAGAACTCCAAATAAAAGGAGTAATAATACTTCCTATGAACTTTGGTGTAAAAAGGTACCAAATTTGAGTTATCTCAAAGTTTGGGATTGTAGAGCAGTTGGCAAGGGTCACTGAACCCAAAAGGAAAGCATTCAGTAAGAGAGGTGTAGATTGTATCTTCATTGGGTATGTTAAGCATTCCAAAGCATATGGATTCTATGTTTTAGAATCTAATGACTATGTGTCTATAAACACTGTGATAGAGTCAAGAGATGTTATCTTTAATGAAGAAAGATTTACATCTATACCTAGACCAAGGGAAATGATTCATCTATCTTCAAGCAAGAGTACTACTCAAGATGAAGATGTTTCTAGTAGTGCAAGTTTTGTACCTGAACCTTGGAAAAGCACAAGAGATAGAAAAGCTAAGTCTTTAGGATCTGATTTTCAACTTTATCTAATTGAAGGAACAAGGAACGAGACTATATGTCAACATCAATATTGTTTTAATATCGAGGAGGATCCAAACACTTTTAGTGAAGCTATGGCTTCAAGGGATGTTCATTTCTGGAAAGAAGCAATTCAGGATGAGATTGATTCTATCATGCATAACAATACTTGGGTATTGTCTGACCTACCTCCTGGTTGCAAAGCATAGGGAAGTAAGTGGATCCTTAAAATGAAAATGAAGGTGGATGTCACAATTGATAAGTATAAAGCCAGATTGGTTATCCAAGGCTTTAGACAAAAGGAAGGCATTGACTTTTTTTTTGATACTTATGCTCCTGTTGCTAGAATTTCTACTATTAGATTATTGTTAGCTCTTGCAGCTATACATAATCTTGTGATTCACCAAATGGATGTGAAAATGCATTCTTGGATGGTGACTTGGATGAGGAAATTTACATGAAACAACCTGAAAGGTTTGTGATGCCTGGTAATGAACATAAGGTGTGCAAGTTGAAGAAATCCTTATATGGTTTGAAAGAAGCACCAAAACAATGGCATCAAAATTTTGATGATGTGATATTGTCTAATGGTTTTATATTGAACTAGACTGACAAATATGTCTATAGCAAATTTGATTCTTCTGGTAAAGGAGTTATAATTTGTCAATATGTTGATGATATGTTAAGTTTTGGTACTAATCAAGGTGAAGTTGATAAAACCAAGAAATTCTTATCATCTAGTTTTGACATGAAAGACATAGAAGAGGCTGAGGTAATTCTTGGTATAGCAATTAGAAAAGGAAACAATGGGATTTCAATTTCTCAATCTCATTACATTGAGAAGATATTGAAAAAGTTTTAACTTTGACAATTGTTCTCCTGTAAGCACTCCTCTAGAATTTCAAAGTACACTGTTATTTAGGGGCGAAGCCCCTAAAGGCCTAAATGAACAGGGGTCCGGGGGCAACGCCCCTGGGAGCGGGGTTGAAGGGGCGGCAACCCCTGGCGAGGTCCAAGGGGAAGAGCTCTTGGCTGGGGTTGAGCTACCCGTTTTTATGACTGTTTTTGATGGTTTGTGACAATTAGAAACTATCATATGACAGTTTTCGGACAGAGATCATAAAATCGGTTTTTGGTCTCATTTTCTGGTACATACGAAATTCATAACAATCACATTCTCTGTTCTTGCTCTCATATTCGGAGTCTTATCTAATTAAAGATGACAAAATTACAAAAATGGTCCCTGTGGTTTGCCAAAAGTCACAAAGTCAGTCCCTGCTATTTTTTTTGATGCAAACGGTCCTTGTGGTTTGCAAAACTTGCAAAGTTGACCATTTTTACTAACACCGTTAGTAAAACGCCGTTAGGGACTGAATCTGTAAGGGTATTTTCGTATTTTCAAGTATAAAGGGACTGAATTCGTGACATTTGATAAACCACAGGGAACATTTTTGAAATTTCTTAGAAAAAGACAATTAAATTTCTAGGAAGAGGGATCAAACTCATGACCTCCACCTTTTTATTTTGCCTAGCGACTTAACCACTTGAGCTAAAGGCTCACTTGGTTTTTACCTTCTAAAACTCATTTATATAATAATAAATCGATAAAACATAAACAATAAATAAATTAAAAAAACATTTTTTTTACATAATTTTTTTAATAAAAATACGTTTTATTTATTGTTTATGTTTTATTGATTTTATTATTGTATATATGAGTTTTAGAAAAAAAATACGTTTTGTTTTATTTAAAATGTTTTTTGTAATTTACATATTTTTGTTTATAATACGGAAAACACGTTTTATTTTATTTAAAAAAAATTATGTAAAAAAATATTTTTTGTAATTTATTTAGTGTTTTTGTTTTATTAAAAAAAACATTTTATGTAAAATAAGTACATAAAAATAAATAATTTTTGTAAACGTATTTCTTTTATAACACGCTAAAATACATTTTGTTTTATTAAAAAAATTATGTAAAAAATGTTTTTTTTTTTAATTTATTTATTGTTTATGTTTTATCAATTTATTATTATATAAATGAGTTTTAGAAGGTAAAAACCAAGTGAGTCTTTAGCTCAAGTGGTTAAGTCGCTCGGCAAAATAGAAGGGTGAAGGTCATGGTCCTTATGGTTTATCAAATGTCACGAATTCAGTCCTTTTATATTTGAAAAGACGAAAATACCCTTACAGATTCAGTCCCTAACGGTGTTTTAGTAACGATGTTAGTAAAAAGAGCCAACTTTGCAAGTTTTGCAAACCACAAAGACCATTTGCATCAAAAAAAATTAGCAGAGACTGACTTTGTGACGTTTGGCAAACAATAGGGACCATTTTTGTAATGGAGTAAAACCAAAATACTTTAATCTGACCATTTTTGTAATTCAGTCTTTCTATACCCCAAATTTTCTAACAATATATAAATTTCAAAATCCAGATCTCATTCTCCAAACAATCAATAAACTCAACTTAGCTATGCACATAATTTTGTCTAAAATAATCCATCATTAAAACATCTAAAATAAAAGTTAAAATATAAAACAAACAATATTAGATCATAGTATCATACGTTTGAGCATGAGATCCTTTATTGCCATTTTAATAAATTTCAAATCCGTTAAACTATAGGTCAGACGTTTGAACATGAGATCCCCAACGATACACAATCCAATTACGAGGTCAATTTATTTGAAGACACCACTCAATATTGTGTTTTGGGAGAAAAGATTTATCAATAATTAAAAAAAGTATGCCATTCATGATTAATGGACTCCATTGTTGGTTGCTTTAAAGATAAAAAGAAAGATTCTGCAACAAGATTATGGTCTGAATGAAAAGTTTGTGATTTGCTTTTTTACCCAAAAGATTTAAAAAAGCAATCATATTTTCAAAGTGATCATGAAGTAGGTTTCTTTATGGCATTAAAACAAACAGGTTATGTGGATTCAAAAGAGAGAGAGAAAAAGAAAAAGAATATAAGATTTGGGGGATCAAATTGCACTAAGAGGGGCTGGATATATGTAGGCCCTTTGAAAATTGCAACTACCACCTCTCTCACCAACAAGGCATCTCGTCCCTATTTCAGTAGCTGTATATAAGAATCGACTCCCAAATACAGCGGTTGCAATTGCTTGCATACTTTGACTTCAATTTTATAGTTAGTATTTGATCAACAAATAATGGAGACCTTCCTACAAGACTTCCAGGATCTTAAAATCCAACTGGAAGAGATAAAGTCAGCCACTGATACCTTTGATAACAAGAACTTCATTGGAGAAGGTGGATTTGGTAAGGTCTACAAAGGAGAAATCTCTCACTCTAAGGGGCAAAGCATGGTTGCTTTTAAGCGTCTAGATCGTAGCCATGGGCAAGGCGATCCTGAGTTCTTAAAAGAGATCCTGATGCTTTCAGGTTACACACATGAAAACCTCATCTCTCTCTTGGGATTTTGTGACGAGGATGGCGAGAAGATCATTGTCTATGAGCATGCAGCTAATGGAAGCCTCGATCGCCATCTAAGTAGCACTACTCTCACATGGAGGCAACGCCTCAAGATATGCCTTGGGGCTGCAACAGGATTGTGCTACCTTCATCATCCCAAGGAGACACAAGAAAGAGTCATCCACCGTGATATAAAGAGCTCCAACATTCTACTGGATGAGAATTGGAATGCAAAAGTTTCTGATATGGGACTTTCGAAAGTAGGACCCGCTAATCAACAACGAACCTTTCTTCTTGTCACCAATGTTGTAGGTACCCTTGGTTACATAGATCCGATGTATATGGAGACAAGCATCCTAACGGAAGAGTCAGACGTATTCTCTTTTGGTGTGGTTTTATTTGAAGTATTGTGTGGGAGAGTATGCTATGAAAATAGCAATGGTAGTTTTCAGAGTTTAGTGCGAATGTGGAGAAAAAGCTACAAAGATAAGAAATTGGATGAAATTATCTTCCAAGGTCTGAAGCAAAACATGGATCAGAGGTCTTTGGCAACATTTTCAGACATTGCCTATACATGTTTGCAGAAATACCGTGGAGAACGGCCGAAGATGTGTCATGTTGTGGAAAAACTGGAGAACGCACTTCGCTTGCAGGAGATTTTTGAAGATGTAGAACAGAAACGACTGTACTATGAAGAGATAAGTAAGGCTTCATCACCTCGTTTGGTCTACAGATCCGAAGAGCATCTAAAGTTACTTCTCTCCAAGGGAATCTTTCTTAACAGAGGGAAAACGGTAATTAGCTATGTGAATATGTCTATAAACCTCTGCTTTTGATTTTATTTATTTATTTTATGAATAGTAAATAGTGAGTTATGATATGTTAATTACATTATAGCTTGGTTTGAGGAACTTGACATAATTAGAACCATGGTGCTTGAAAAGTATACATCTCAATAACTACAATCCACTGGGCCACCAACAATGATGCAAGTTAATGACCTTTAACCTGAATACACTAAAATCCACCCACCATAGCTCTCTATTTAATTACACATGTAACCAACAGGAAGTCCATTTACTTTTAAATGTTGACACAATATGTGCACTCTAATTATAGTATATCCTACATGCATCACTGGAATTCCGAAGTCCAAACTAACTTGACCTTTTTTAATGGACAGTGGTTTTGCTTAGATAAGGATGGGGAACATTGTGAAATGATATCCGCAGCAGAATGTTTGATTCCTGTTCGCATTGTATCCTCCGATTATTATTACCATAAAAAAAAATCAAGGTTACTAATTATTGTCCTCCTTTTTATTATATTACTATGTTTTTACCTGTTTCAACAGTATATACTTATGTATTCTTTGATGCCTCTTCGTGCAGATTAGGAGTGAAATCAAGGTTACTTGTCCTCCTTTATATTTCTATGTTTTTAACCTATTTCATCAATATATACTTATGTGTTCATTGCTGTCTCTTCACGCAGATTTGCAGTGAACTACGATATACCATATTCTAGGCAATTCAAAACACACGTCAAAACACAATTTTTGTCATCACATATCACATATACACTAAACCTAGTGTTCCATTCTGATCAGTACACAACTAATGACTATTTGGGAATCAATTACATATTGGCTGGGGAGACAAAATCTTCATCTGTGTACTTAGCAAATAAGAGAGAAGATGGATGGTTGATGGCTGAATTGTATCAATTTAATAGCGACAGCAGAAATGTTGATTTTGAAATTACGTTTCAGTCCAATGATCCATTGTTGGTAGAAGGCATCGAGTTTCTGCCTGTGGAAAGAGTAAAGAGACAAATACATTTTTATTCAATTATATCTTTTTCTTTAAAGTAAACCAAAGAAATAGTCCCTTCTGGTATGTAGTGTTCATGGGTCCCGAAAGGAATCTTTTTTTGAAAAAAGTCCCTTTATTGCAAAGTTTAGGTTTTGTTGTGCAGTTGTTCCTTGCTTTTAACAATATTTGTTAAATTAAGATATATACACTTATTTTTTCTTTTTTATTCCTCTCTCTCTCTCTAATGAAGATGGGGAGGGGGGGGGGGGGTAGTAATAACAGTGTCAATGTACAAACCAAAAGAACAACAAAACCGTGTAGTAGTACATACTGGATACCGCAGGACCATATCTGCGGTTTACTCTTTTCTTTTTGTTTATTTTTATGCTTCAAACATTCTTAAAATATAAATATTTCGCAAGAACATTTCAACTTAAGAGAACCTATGGTTTCCTACTTTTTGGAAAAGCTATTCCATGGGATCAAATAGAAAACGTTTGGAGAATATGAGTTTTTGTCCATAGTTGATCAAAGTCTAATGTCTATGTTTTATAGGTGGATCATCAAGTGTTAGAGGATGAGGATGAGGATATTCAAACCCACACATACTCAGAACAAAAATTGCCATGGGAATATGGACAAATAAACGAGAGTGGTGATGTGGTATATTCTCAATCAAGGAACTCTACTCTATTCTTAAGCGCAGTTTGTTCATTTGTTCTTTTATATTTTGTTGTTGAGGAGCCTATGAACATGGTTCTACCCAATGTTCCAAAACAAGTACTTACACATTTATTTTACTACAGTGGGTTTCTCGTGCAAAAAATAGGGAAATATGTTATATGCTCTCAGCAAAAGTGGCTTTACTAAAAGAAGAGTGGAGATGGCGGTCTTTACCCGAATCAAGGTTTTATCCTCTATCTTCAAGCCTGTATTCTTGTAGCGATGTCTATGTTGTGCACCATGTGGTAATATTTTTTTGGTAATGGACACAGTAGCAAGCAGCAAAGGTCATCAACTGAGTTGGGAATCCACTAATTTATCCATCATATGTTGATTTGTAACCACCTTGGATTTAGTGACTCTGGTTTGTTCTCCAATGAAATTGGATTGCTCATTTGCAAAATCAACTGGAATTAGTATTAAATGTTATACCAAGCATTAATTATGGCTATGGCATCTATTGTGTTTGTCTACAGTCAAAAAATTCCTGCACTCTAATAAAAAAACAAAGCATATACATATATTGGCTGTTAGTACGTGGAACCCCTGCAACTTTTCAAATCCTTCTGAACAAGTATGTTTAAACTATTCTTTAGCATTTATATTAAAACACTATATATATCTTTTGGCAGATTTGAAGAAGTGGCTTTTGATCCACATGGCAGCTTTTGGATATTCTTCAGCACTGATAGGCTGTCAAGTGAAACAACATATGCAACTTACCTTGTTTACAGATTAGAAGAAAACCATTTTGGATTTGAGCCTCCTTTGAAAGTGAAGTCTGGTGATTACCTTGTCGGTAGGAAAGATTCATGGTTCATCTATTTACTTTGGCCTCAAATTCCAATTATCAGACCAAAGGTTTATCAAAGCACCCACAACCCAATGAATAGACCCCAAACGATATACCTTCCACAACAAAGAGATGATGGTTGGATGGAAGTAAAAGTATGGGAATTTCGAGTGCCTTTTACCACAGATAATTATTCTCAAAGCCCTTTTACCACTAATAGTAATTCCAAAAATCTTCGATTGACCCTTCACAGTGAGAACTCGCTTAAAGGCCTTATTGTGCAAGGGATTGAGTTTAGACCCACACATGAAGATGTAGGTTATCCAGGTTATGATACAGAATGCTCTTATGATTCTGAATGAATTGATTGTAATAGGTTATATTCTTTATGATTAGGCATAAATTAATTATAATTAAATACAGTGAACTTGTTAACCGGGGTGTATTTAAAAAAAAAAGGCTAGGGGGTGCCTCACCACCTAAGCGCGCACAGTGGTGTGATGTGGCATAGGTGCCTCAGATACATTATGTCCGTGCGGTATTCGGTGCCCAAGCATGCTAAATTTGCTGATCAGTAGCCACACAAAACCCACTCACCAATGTTTCCGACGATTATATATATATATATATATATATATATATATATATATATATATATATATATTAGGTTAATACCCGTGGAAACCACGAGTGATACAACAATAGGCATAATAAATGTTTATTTAATTGTTAATAGGTGTAATAACAATAAAGAATAGATTTATAAACATTTGTTGTTTTAGAAACTTAGATATTTTATTTGTAACTTTATAAATGTTTATTTGAATTAATTATGCAAAATGTTTTGAAGATACAATGTTCATTATGTCTAATTTAATGGTAAATGATTATTTTGTAAAATGAAATTTTAAATTGTAATAATTGAAAAAAAATCATAGACAATCAATCATGAACATAAATTAATGAAATTTATTTTATCAAATAAAAAATAATAACATGAGCCATTCTTGTCATATATAGCAATGTAGTTTAAGGCACATTGCTACTTTAAGGCTATCTTGTGAAATTGATTTTTTTTTTCAAAAAATAGTAACAATTATCGTTCCTACTATTATTAAGAGAACTAATTTTCAACAAATATATAATACATTCATTGCGTTAATTTTTTTTAAACTATTTTTTTTCTTATTTATTATGCTAAAATAATAATATATTGTTAGGCCAATATGAAAATTTCAAAAACAATAAAGTTATGACAAACACAAATAACAAAGCCCTAACCTCATTTAAATACAAAAATAAAACTATGTTCATTTAAATTAAAGCAAAGCAAATGATAATTAAAGTCATTTTCTAATATTTTCTTGCACACCAAAATACAAAATAACTTAAAGGATGAATAAATGCTAGAGATTCAAAATACTTTTACATCTAAAACTTATTTCATCAAAAGTCAAAACTACAATAGAAATAGACTAATAGATTACATTAAAAAATTATTAGAATTAAAAACACAAAAAATTCGTAAGAATCCTGGAAAAATCAATTTCAATTCATCAAGCACGCAATAAGCTAATTTAAATTTTTTAATTTGTTTTTATAACACTAAATTTTAAACACGTTAAGGATAAATACATAATTTGGTTGAATAATTTGAAAACATGCCTCAAGAAAGAAAGGTCACGACATTTCAATATCAATTACGTACATTGTTATCATCCTATGCATCTTAGTGGAACAAAAGGAATGATCTAAATCCTATTAAAAATGAACTATTAAATTAATAAAATAGAAAAATGATATACATATTGCTATATAAACTTTAAAAATGCTAAGATTAGAAAACTATTGGGCATATTCGTTAATAAGAAAACAAAATGGAAATATATACATGTAGGATGTTATAACAGACAAACAAATAAAAGTATATTGTTATTTTTCACATTTACTTCTTGTTTAGATTAAGTTTTAAGATTGACACATAATTGACATCTATTTACTGAAACATAAGAACAATGCAATCATTTATTAAAAATAGAAGGGGATCAATTCATACATATCAGCTTTTCTTCACATTGTTACCATTGCCACGTTAATTATCCCTCACATCAGAGTTTCTCATTGGCTTCAATTCTTGAAACAAATAAAACAAAATAGAATTGTTAGCTGCAGTCAACCCATATGAACCAATACATTATATACATATATTAAAACCCATCGTGTCTTACAACAGTACTCTTTACCCGTTTCAGATTTTAACCACATTAATTTGTACCCATCGACCCTTTTCGTCCTTTTGGAATTCTAGATTTCTAACATCCGTTTTCCCCAATCGTATATTCCCAGTATTTCCCACCGCCAACGGTTTTCATATGTTTCTCCATAATCTTTGAACTCCTTTCCTTCGCATTACCAAGATGTTGCAACCAACCACCTTCTAACCACCGCCATCACCGATCGTCACTCACACCACCGTCGCCGCCGACCCATCTCCGGTGCGTCAATTGAAAACCCTTGTCGGCTTCCAATTTCCTGCTACGTAGTGCCGACAAATGTAGCTTTTTGGGCTTATATAACCCTCGATTTTTTGTTTCCCACATATTCAACCACATCGAAGAGTCTCGTCAGATAAACATTTCTTTAAGTTGGACACGTGAAAAGTAGGGTGTACGTTGTTAAGTTCTTGTGGTAGTTTGATTTTGTAAGCTATTGGGTCGATTCTTGCGATAATCTCGAAAGGACCAATGTACCTTGGATTCAGTTTTCCATGCTTTCCGAAGCATATCATGCCATTCCAGGGTGAGGCCTTCAATAGCACATGGTCACCAACCTGGAATTCCAAGGGTTTTCGTCTTTTATCTGTGTAGATCTTTTGTCTGTCTCTAGAGGTTTTCAATCGTTCTCGAATTTGAACAATTTTCTCAGTCCTTTCCCTGATGATCTATGGACTAGTGAGAGTTCTTTCAGGGACTTGCCCTTTAGCTAGTTGCGTATCACCCACTTCAGCCCAACATAGAGGTGATCTACACTTCCGACCATAAAGGGCTTCGAATGGGGCAACCTTGATACTGGTATGGTAGCTGTTGTTCTATGAGAATTTGACCAGTGGCAAATGGGTATCCCATGTTTTACCAAAGTCGATCACACAAACTCTCAGCATGTCTTCTAATGTTTGAATCGTTCTCTCACTTTGCCCATCGGTTTGTGGATGGTAAGCTGTACTCATGTCCAACCTAGTTCCTAGGGATTTTTGTAGTGACTGCCAGAACCTTGAGGTGAATCTACTGTCTCTATTGGAGATAATAGATATGGTCACACCATGTAGTAGTACAATCTCTCTAATGTATGTTCTTGTCAGTTTCTCCATTTTGTCAGTTTCCTTAATTGGTAGGAAGTGCGTGGATTTGGTTAACCTATCAACGATCACCCAAATGGTATCGAGAACACCTGCTATCTTGGGTAACTTGGTTATGAATTCCATTTTAAGCCTCTCCCATTTCCACTCAAGTATTTCTGCTTGCTATACTAAACCTGAGGGCTTTTGGTATTCTACCTTAACCTTGGCACAAGTTCAATACTTGCCCACAAAGGTAGCAATCTATGCTTTCATGTTTGGCCACCAATATAATTTCTTGAGGTCCAGATACATCTTGTCTGAACCTGGATGAACGGAGTATCGTGTCTTGTGAGCTTCGTTCATGACAACGTCTCTGAATCCACCAAACTTCGGTGTCCAGATTCAGTTCATGAGATAACGAACTCTGTCACCCTTGACTTCTAAGTTCCTGTCCATTCCACTTATGGCTTCACCTGTCACATTTTCGGGTTTCAAGGCTTCCTGCTAAGCCTCTTTAATTTGTGTAGACAGATGTGAATGAATGGTCATGGTCAGTTCTTTGACTCTACGACCTGAGTACTCTTTTCGACTAAGGGCATCAACTACTACATTGGCTTTGCTTGGATGATAACGAATTTCACATTCGTAGTCATTTAGTAGTTCTACCCATCGTCGTTGTCTCATGTTGAGCTCCTTCTGGTCGAATATGTGTTGCCGGCTTTTGTGGTCTGTGAAAATAGTGCTCTTTGTACCATACATGTAGAGCCTCCACGTCTTTAGAGAAAATACTACCGCTCCCAGCTCAAGATCGTGGGTAGTGTAGTTGACTTCGTGTTTCTTAAGTTGTCTTGAGGCATAGGCGATGACCTTTCCAGTTGCATAAGAACACACCTTAGCCCTTGATTGGATGCATCGCAGTATACTACAAAATCTTCTATCCTTTCTGGAAGGGACAGTATCGGTGCGCTGCATAGGGCTTGTTTTAGCGTTTGGAATGCATTTTCTTGTTTCTCTTCCCAGCTGTAAGCCACACCCTTTTGAGTTAGGGTGGTAAGTGGTTTAGCGATCCTAGAGAAGTTCTGTATGAACCTGCGATAGTAGCCAGCAAGGCCTAAGAATTGACGGATCTTCGTAGGCGTTCTTGGTGCTGACCAGTTCTCGATTGCCTTGATATTGGAAGGGTCCACATGAATTCCCTCTTCACTGACCACGTGACCTATGAATTCTACTCTCCAAATCCAAAATTCACACTTTGAGAACTTCGCATAAAGTTTTTCTACTCGTAATGTTTCCAAGACCTGTCGTAAGTGCTGACTATGTTCCTCCTTACTGCGTGAGTAGATAAGTATGTCATCTATGAATACTATCATGAATTTTTCTAAGTAAGGATGACACACCCTGTTCATTAAATCCATAAACACTGCGGGTGCATTGGTTAATCCGAAGGGCATCACTACAAACTCGTAGTGAGCATAACGAGTTCGGAAGGCTGTTTGAGAATATCTTCCTCTAAAACTCGTAACTGGTGATACCCGCATTACTAGAAAAACAGCCTTTTACGACGCGCAATGTGTGTCGTAAAACGCTCAGACGACGCGCAAATGCGTTTCAAGGAAGGCCCTGTCATAACGAGAGATGACACGCTTTTGCCCGTCGTCTATAGACGACACGCAGTTACGACATGCATTTACGACGCTCATTTACAACACACAATGCGTATCAAGGAAGGCCGTGTCATAAAGGAAGACGACATGCATTTGCGTGTCGTAACCTTACGACGCGCATTTAGGACACGCATTGCGTATCATTAAAGCCCCTATCATAAATAAAGATGACACGCATTTGCGTGTCATAAACTTCAGCAACCATTTACAATTTGCATATACGACGTGCCTTTACGATATTCATTTATGCATATACAAATTAAATTTGCATTTAATGTCTCATAAAATACCATATACAAAAAATACAATCCATTGCACAAAAGTTAATGTCATACAAATAAACGTTCCAATAGTAGACAAATGTAATACATCAAATGTGAAAGAGATGAAAGTCATCAACAAATAATAGTCGAACTACAAGAACTCGTTGCCTACCTTCACAGCATCCGAGATACTTTACTTGACACTATGCACATCAACAAGACCTGCAAATTTGAATAATGCAACCATCAGATTCACATAAACCAACAAATCCAAGGATGTGAGTAGTCATGGAAGCTGCATTGTATGGCAACTTTTTATCAGGGAGTGTGAATAAATCTTCATAATACATATCCAAGATGTTAGCCAAACATACCTAAAAATAAAACTAAGTTATATCTTGCATATATCTTGATGTATACGAGATGTAAGGGCTGAAATTGACATTAACATAACTTCACAAAAACAGACATCAAGTCTCATTGACATACCTGAAAATAAAACTAAGTTATATCTTGCATACCCAAGATGTTAGCCAAGCATACTTGTTTTTTTTCTTTGATTTTTTCCATTATTTATTTTATCCATACAGAGACCACAACAGTTAATGGGAAAAGAAGAAAGAAGGTGTAACATGACAAAGTGATTGTAACTTCAACAGCAGCTCATGCAAAAAGGGCATAAGAGCTCAATCTCTCATCCATGGCTACTAAAAAAGAACACATGAGTCAGATAATGCCTCAAAAAGAACCACAAGATAAGTCAAAATACAAGACAAGTAAAGAGATACCAGCTATAAATAGGATTTATGTTACAATAAAGCCTACTTTCATAAATACAGAGACTCCCAAGGTTAAGAACAATTAGTTTAGATTGTATATATTATGTAGTTATAATTAATGAGAAAGTCAAATCAGGGCAAATTTTTTCTTTTTGTATAAAATGAAAAGGAAACACTTGAATGTATATAGTTGAATTAGACATCTTATAAAACTAAGAATCTTGAAAGTTATAAGAAGCTTGACTGTAGCTTCTCTTTGGATGATGAAGCCAGAATTCAGAATAATCTTCCGTATTGAGCTTATTTTGAATAGGTGACCTTGTTAATGTTATTCGCCTCTAGAATTTCATTTACTTCAAGGCCTGAGCTTATTTTGAAGAGGTGACCTATTAATACTGCACATATTCAAACAAACAATCAAGTCAAATGATCCTGAAACAAACTTACATGAGCCTTTATGTGTAAATCTCATCATGTCTTTCAACTGTAGCATCATAAAGCTCAGTTAGCTGTATTATTTCTGGTAAAAAGCCATGACTTTTCCAAGTATAATAGTATTCTTCTGGGGATTTTATAATATGATCGTTTCAAAAACTTATAACCAACACGGTTATTAATTTATTTGGCATAAATATTGTCATATCATTATCTGGACACTTACCAATCGACCAGAAATTTTATGCAATGCTTCTGCCCAATGAGTGGTAGAATCTACCATCATACTCACATTGTACCCCATGTCTCTGAAGTATTTGGCTATGGTAATTCCTGAAAGTAACATTCAATTAATTAGAATCATAAACACCAAATCTGTTACTTTAAGAATTCATTTTACCTGTATAAATTGAAGCCTCATGAGCAGCAACAGGCATGTTACAAGTGTTGGCCACAAGTGTGGTACGTTTAATCACAGACTCTTCATGCCGATCAGGTAATTTCATTGTCAATTGAGGAAAGTCCATCAGAACCTGCACGGTTTGTATAAATAATAAAAATTGTCAGCATCAGGTAATGTCATTGTTAAGTGTTGTTACTGCCTACAAAAAGTTGAATGATTTTAAAATTAAGCTGTTTTAGGAAGATAATGATTTTATTACTGACCAACAACAACATTAGTTTTCTTAGGGCCATAAATGCATGGTTGAAACAGGGAGTAGCTTGCATCCCATGTCCCATGTCCTATAGGATTAATACAACTATTTGATGGTAAACGACTTGCTATATTGGTCTTTCTAGTTGCACAATATCTTCCTGTTCCTCCTCCTTCACAAATTGGATTACTTGCAAGACTGGAAAGTAGTAGAAAAGTATTTCCATAAGAAGAAGGATAAAATGGATGGTAAGTGAATAGAAGAAGGATAAAAAGGATGTGAGCTCACTTTATGCTCATATTATATACAGATTTTTGGGTGAAGTCAGCAATTGAATTGTTTGTCAAATCAACATTCAAATCACTGCTATAGGTGTTTCCCACATCTAGTATTTCGTTAAGACCATTGTTGCTTAGCACCCTGTGAATATATATAAAATAAGTTGATGTTATATTGTTTGAAATGATTACAATTGCATATGCATATTAAATTGAGTAGAAAGCATTCTGTTGATACTCACAATTTCTCCAACTGAGGTTAGAAGAGCGTTGATGGGATTTCTCCTTGAAGTTGAGTCTTCTCCACCAATCTGTTAGTAGAAGATTAAGGATGCTTAATAATAAATTCCTCAATATTTTACAAACACACAGATTGAGGAACTACCTGGACTAGTCTTTCTGGTGAAAGACATGAAATGAGTGAAAGAAAGATTACAATGTTGTTAAAGATGGAAGTTCTGTGAACCATGTTGGAATATATGATGCATCAAAACTATTATTGCTCATGTCCCTGAGAATGGCATATGTCATGTTAGAAACTAGAAGATGATGATTTATGAAGTTTAAACTTTAAATTAACTTACACATAAAACAGGGAGACCATTCCTGTGAGATTTGGAACATGTCCACTCAGTTTGTTGTTCGACAAGTATCTAAAAATGAATAAATCTCAACCACCAAATAAAACTATTATAAAAAAAAAACATTGATCGACTTCTATTATCACTTACAGCTTACTAAAACTTTTGAGATTCGTGATGTTTTGAGGCACTATCCCATCCAAGGAATTTGAGTCCAGGCGTCTGTGAAATAAAGGAGGGAAAGAGTAAATAAATTGAATATTTTTAGATCTAGCTATAATGTTCAAGGATTATTAATTAATGATACTTACAATGCCTGAAGAGTACTCACTAGTCCTATCGAGGAAGGAATATTTCCAGATAATTGATTGTTGTTGAATATCCTGTTTGAAAGGTATATATATATTTGTTAACCAATTACACTTGAGATCTTTCGTCAGGTAATCTGATACTTACACATGTATTAGAGTCATATCTGATCTGAACAGTTCAGATCGAATGTCACCAGATAAATGATTATCTGCTAAATGGCTGCATAATTGTCATAAGATTAAGATAACACGGGTGAGAAAAATCACTCTAAAAGCTTAATAACTGACAATGTACATAAGATACAAAACTTACAAGTGTTTTGCATTCTTTAACCTGTCAAGACTAGGGGCTGTTTCATTAGACACAGGAATGGGTCCCTGAAGCTTGTTATCACTTAGATCCAACCATGAAAGATTGGATAAATTACCAATGGATGGTGGGATATTCAACTGCATCAGCAACAAATTGTACGCCCACAAAGCTTTTAGGGTCTATTGCAACCTGATAATTTAACAAAAAAGAATCTATTAAAAATTGGACTTTTTCAAGAAAGATGTTGAGAAAGTTATAAAAAAATGAAACCTTTAGCCTTCCCACACTGAAAAGATGAACCAAATTATCAAGATGTTGTTGCCACAAGTGAGGGTATTGCATGATCTAAAGTAGCATCAAACATATCGAATATTAAAGAGAAATGAAAAAGAGCTAGACTCCTGGAAACGAGTCACAGAAAATAGAGAACTGTAAGATCCATTCACTATAGTCTAAACAAACACATCAGGCTTTATGTGCCTAATCAACCTTAAGAACGCCATGTCAAGGATTGCTCTCCATAACTCTGTGAGGAAGATGAGAGATTAGGGAAATCAAGAAGTTCAAACCTTTGAGCCCTAGAAATCGCACTAGCTATGTGAATGATGGTCAAGGATTGCTCTCCATAACTCCATGGATATTTTAATGTCTTTCCTTTCTTTAATCGGCTAATTCTGCATATCCCTTCCAGAAATATTAAAATGGGTATACAAGGCTTGACCTTTATCATCAGGCTGGTCCTCCTGCAACAAAAGGTGTTTATCTTCAAATCACATTGAGGGAACAGAAAATATCCCAAAGAGTAATTAAAACTTAATCTTATACTATGATGAGGAACTTAATCTTATAGGAACTCTGATTTTTGGAGCATCAAGGTCAATATCAAGAGCAAATCTGCAACGCAAGAAAGAAATACAGGAAATTAGCAAACCCAAATGAACAATAAATGTGTTCAAAAATATTTCTATCTTATTCTGTAAGTGAACCTGCTTTGCTCCTCTAAAACTATTTGAAATTGCTCTTGAGCTCGACGAGGGCTGCCATGAAGCAACTGAATAGCCAATCCCCTGAACCAAACCAAATTTTATTTAAGAAATGAAGAAAAAGGGATTTAACAAGAATCGGAAGTTTGTTCCTTCGATCATAAATTAAATGGAGAAAAATTAAGTCGGGAAGAAAAAGGGATTTAGCAAGAGGATGAGCAATGTATTCGATCCCTTCTCCCTCGACATCTGGGACCCTTTCCAGGGCCTTTCCAGTGCTCTCAACAACCTTCCCGAACCATCACCCGAAACAGCAGCAATCGCCAACACCAGAATCGACTGGAAGGAGACGTCAGAGGCGCACGTTTTCAAGGAGGCCTTGCCTGGGTTGAAGAAAGAGGAGGTGAAGATGGAGGTTGAAGAAGGAAGGTTATTGCAGATAAGCGGAGAGAGGAGCAGGGAACATGAGGAGAAGAACGAAAAGTGGCATAGGGTTGAGAGGAGCTCGGGAAAGTTCTAAAGTCGTCGGACCTGATGTTCCCGGTAAGGGGAGGCGATGTGAGATCTTCATTCGTTATCAGGCATAGGTTGCATATGTTGAATAGGGTTATGAGTTGTTGGAGGTTTATATCGTGATTAGGGTTTGTAGAGAGAAGGAAGAAGAGAATGAAAGGGATCTTGAAGAGGGGTATTAAAAAATTTAAGAATTTTGAATGGATTTCATTTCCTCCTTTCAAGAACGCGCGTTTTTAGTAAAACATATTCCTCCTTTCAAGAACGCGCGTTTTTAGTAAAACATAAAGCAACATTCACAGAGGACGCACATTTTAGATAAAGTGCCCTCCGTGTTTTTATTTTTTTTACATGAGACACTAATCTAAGGGCACACAATAATGCGTGACATAAGTCCTTAAATTTTTTGAAGAGACGACACTTTTTTAATGTCACTCTCTTTTGCGTAACATAAATCAATGAGTGTCGTGGTTTGCGCATCGTAAAAGGGTCTTTTTCTTGTAGTGCCGGATCTTAAATCATTCTTTGAAAAGTAGCTTGCTCCTTGAAGTTGGTTGAACAAGTCGTCTGTACGCGGTAGAGGGTATCGATTCTTAATGGCCAGTTTGTTTAGCTCACAGTAATCGATGCACATACGGAACGATCCATCCTTTTTCTTCATGAAAAAAATCGGTGCTCCCCAGGGTGAGAAGCTCGGTCTGATGAATCCCTTGCTGAGCAGGTCGTTTAGTTGACTAGATAGTTCCTACATCTCTGCTGGTGCTAGACGGTAAGGTGATTTGGCTACGTGGGTAGCTCCAGGAATTAAGTCGATTCTAAACTGGACTTGGCATTCTGGTGGTACTCCAGGGAGATCTTCGGGAAAGATGTCGGGAAAATCACGGACTTCAGGAAAGCTCTTTATGTCTTTCACTTCCCGATTCATGTCTACCACATGAGCTAAGAACGCATGGTATTCCTTTCGTAAGCACTTCTAGGCTTGGATGCACGAGATGATTCGAAGGCGTTCCTGGTTTGTCGCCATAAACAACTACGGTTTCACTACTCGGTAGACTAAGACGAACAAATTTCTCATAACATAGGATGTCATCATGATGGGGACTCAACCAATCCATGCCGATGATAACGTCGAAACTTTTTATTGAGACCGGCATAAGGTTGATTTGGAAAGAATAGCTATTTAGAGTGAGGGTGCATCCTATATATATATATATATATATATATATATATATATATATATATATATATATATATATATATATATATATCGTTAGTGCTCTCAGTCCTTCCGTTAGCCATTTTTACAATAAATGTTTCCTTTAGTGTTTGTGGTTGTTGTTTGAGTAAGTGTTTAAATTTGTGGCTCACGAAACTCCTCTCCGCTCCACTATCAAAGAGTATGCATGCATAAGAGTTATCGAGGAGACACGTACCCGTGACCACCGTAGGATCTGCCACTGCTTCTTCATGGCCTATTGCCAATACTCTCCCCACTCCACCAGTATTCCTTGCCTTTGGGCAGTTCCTCTTGAAGAACCCATTTTCGCCGCACACGGAGCAGGCCTGCCTTACTCCAATATCAGGAACCTGGGTGATTGGTTTTGTCGTTGCCTTACAGAAATGGGCTGTGTGCCCCTTCCTATTGCAGTTATCACATTTCATCTCCCGACAGGGTCCGTGATGATGGAAATTGCACTTGCTGCACTTTGGCATGTTTCCAGCATATTGCTTTGCTGGGGCAGGGGTAGCAGGGTTGTTGCAGCATGATTAACCACTATATCCTGTTTCTTGGTGGGGTTCTGTGCCGTTTGGTTCTTCTTTATGTACCAAAACTTTCTTTTGTTGTCGTTCGCCTTGGCTTGTTCGGGGACATGGGTCGCTACACGTTGGTGGGCTCCGTGGTCAATGAGTCTTTGAGCAAAGCGTTTGGCGCTATCGAATGTAATAGGGTTTGAAAACAAAACATTCCCCTGAAGTGGAGGAGGCAGTCCCCAGATATACCTCTCTATTTTCTTGCTCTCTGTGGGAACCATCCCTGGACACAGAATAACCAGGTCACTAAATGTATTAGTGTAGGCTACTATGTCAGAGCCTGTCATGGCAAGGCTCCAAAGTTCCTGTTCCAATTTCTATACTTCGCCCTTCGGGCAGTACTCCCTCATCATCAGTTCTTTTAAGTTCTCCTAGCCCATTGAGTTAGCCACAATGAGTGAAAGTGACTTGATATGGATTTTGCACCATGTGAGGGCCCGATCAGAGAATGTGCAGGCATCAAATCTCACTTTGCTCCGTTCTGGGCAGGAGCAGATGTAACACTAGTCAAAATAGGTCAACAGACAATCACATGTGATTATGTCAATCATGTAATGTGATTTTGTTAAACTAGTAATGTGATAAAAGTGCTATGTAGTTCATAATAAATTCTAATACAAATATGAACTTTCTTTATGATGCAACTCAAAGTATACGTCAATACAATTCCAAAAATATAGAGAACGTCTGAATCTGACTTCGCATGAAGAAGTTATGATAAACCGAACACTATAAATCTCTACAATAAGAGGAACTTAAAATAGACTTATAATTAGCTATTAGAGTCTAAAAGAGAGTTGTAGTACTCTTAAATACCTACGCATGCATATAAAGAACGTCAAAAACTGAGTTCGTATGTGAGAGTTACGACCTTCCGAAGATTCAGCTGTCAGAAACCCTAATCTGACTGAGCTCACGACATGAGCACAGAAACTCACGACGTGAGGAGTAATTTTGCCACATCTCGGAATCTAGAAGGTGTGTGACGAGGCTACGAGGGGATAAGATCCAAACTCATGACGTGAGCAAGGATATCTCACGACGTGAGGAGTCACATGGCTACCTTCCGAAGCTAGGGACGCAAATGGCAAGTCTACGGGGTGACCAGCCATGACTCACAATGTGAGACTATATGGCTCACGACGTGAGAGGACAAAAATATTCCTATAAATAGCAGGACCGACCTTGACACTTCCTTACACCATTTCCCTTTATCCTCTCTCATTTGCTGAAGCCCTCTTGCATCCCGAGCCCCGACGACCTCGTACCGCTGACCGTTTCTGCTTAGATTACATAAAATCATGCTACTAGGGTGAGTTTCAAGGCCCCACTTTTTAATATTTCGGGGGAAAACGCATGCTAAATATTGTATATACATTACTATTATGTCTATATTATAGTATATTAGTATCAACCGGGGTATAGTTCTTCTAAATACAATATTTTGTTATGCTAAATATTCCAACTAAAGTTTATATGTGCGTATATCCTATGATAATTAGGTGTAGGTGCGCAAGTACATTTTATTATGATCATATCATATGAACTATTTAATTTGGGAATAATATTTGATAGACTAAACTCTTGGTGATCCAAAATGTATAGGAATTCGACATGGCACATTCACGAGAATGGATAATCATCGAAGATAGGGATGAAGAAGAGGAAGTTTCATTCCCCATGATGGTAGGCGATCCTTACTACCCTATAAATCCAACCACCTTTCATCCAATACCTTCTGACGATGGAGCACCTTTACCTTCCAACGAATGGGAAGAGAGCGAACCAATGGAGGAGACAGAATCGGTGGCATCATCTTTACCACCAATGAACACTCTTTACCGTCAAGTTCCAGGAGGAGCGAAGATGAAACGCACGGCTCGTAAATCCATACCGATATGGCAAAAGATTAAGAAGAATCAAAAGGCGACATCTTCAAGAAGTCATAGAGTTCAAGATGAACCTCCACGGGTCGCACAAACCGTTGATAGGTGGGTGGCAGAAGAAAGAGCTTCTAAGATGTATGAGACTGGTCAATCATCTCGACCACATCCCCCACATTCTTCCGAAGTTAACACTTTATCTCAATTGTTTGAGAAAAGTGTGAAAATTGAAGATAAGATGGAACTTGTCGAAGGAAGGGCTACTCATCTCTTCGGAAGAGTACGAAGGCTAGAAGGACAAAGGACCCGAGATCAGGAATCGGTGATGGATGTCCATCATTGTATAAATTTCGCTTATAATGACATGATTAGTCATGATGCAAGTATTGCAGAGTTAGAGCTCTACAATCAAATCTCAAGAAATAAAGAACGCACAGGAAGTCTTGAGCAGAGAACTCAAGCACTGGAGGAGCAAGTGGTTAATGTCACTGACGTGCTAGGTCATCACCTAGGTTACTGGTAGATAAGCTAAAACTAGTGGTTGTGTAAATAGAGAAATCAGACTAGTTAAGGCGAGAAGAGTAAAGTTATAGCAAGGATGTAGAAAACCTTGCAAATTTTGCAATATTTATAAAAACTTTTCTCTTACAAGCCTAAATAAACTGATGTAACCGCTGGTAATAATATGAAGCATATATTACAGTAATCATTGTGTTATCCATTATGTTTTACACTTTGAAGAATAATTGAAGTATTTAGTACTCGTGTAGTAAATGACTAATTCTTCATGAAACTTATAAAATTCTTATTATTTATATTAGGAACTAAAACAAAATGCCTAGAAGGAGTAGTGCTCGGCTAAACCTTAACCAATGATCAACACCAAAACAAAAACCACCAGAACCAAACCCCCCAATAAGTAAAGCAGAACTTGAAGAGATTATAGCTCAAAGAATTGATGCGGCTCTATCTAATGTCACTAGAGGTGGAGTTAGAAATGAAGGCAACGTAGGGACCGCTAGAACGTGTACCTATAAAGACTTTATGAATTGCAGGCCAAAGAGCTTTCATGGAAATGAAGGGGTTGTTAATTTGACTAGATGGATAGAAAAGACAGAGTCCGTCTTTCAAATAAGCTTCTGTCCAGACAATTGTAAAGTACGATTTGCAGCATGTACTTTCGCTGATGCAACACTCACATGGTGGAACAGCCATGTGAATACAATGGGACTTGATACTGCAAATTCCATGAAATGGGAGGAGCTAAAAATGATGCTATTAGAGGAGTATTGTCCTAGGGAGGAGATACATAAGCTGGAATAAGAACTGTGGACCCTAACCATGAAGTGTTCAGAGATAAAAGCTTATACCGCTAGATTTAATGATCTTGCCGTAATGTGTCCAGCACTTGTAACCCCTGAATATAAGAAAATTAAGCGATATATCTGGGGTTTAGCATCGCAAATCAAAGGCATGGTGATCACATCAAAGCCTACAACCTATGACAGCACCAAGAGAATAGCTCATCAGCTAACCCTCACAGAGATCCAAGGAACAATAGTGGTCTCAAAGGCTGAGTCTCCCAAATCTGGAACAAACAAGCGCAAGTTTAATGGGAAGAATCCCAAACAATCATATGAGAAAAGACAAGAAGTGGCAACCAGTTATGCAACCACGACGGTAGTAACCACTCAACCAAAGTCTGCATGGTGCAATCAGTGCAACCGTCATCATCCAGGAGACTGTTTTGTCTGCAAGAAGTGCAAGAAAAGGGGCATACTGCTAGTCACTGCAGGAGCACAACACCTGCAACAGTGAATCAGGGAACAAATACTGGAGCAGGCCATGGTGAAGGAAGAAAGTGTTTTGAGTGTGGCGAGGTTGGACACATCAAGAGAGAATGTCCAAAGTTGAGGAATCAAGGAGGCATAGGGCGTGGCAGGGCATTCGTGA